AGCTGCCTGGGAAGGGCAGCAGGACCCTGCGGGCTCAGCCGTGGGGCTGCCATGGGGTTCTCCTGAGCTCAGGGGAAGCGGCTGGCCATTTGGTTGGGGTCCAGGATCCCAGGCACACGCTGGGCTGAGCTGAAGCAGTGTCACAGGCCACTGCACCCCTCTGCCACGCTGCACTGCAGGACCCCTTCAAAACCCATGCACAGCAATCCCTTCACCACGAGGTGCCTCGATCACCCACGGACTGTGAGGTCTCTCTATCATCCATGGACTGCAAGGTGCCTCCATCACCCATGGACTGCAAGGTGCCGCCATCATCCATGGACTGTGAGGTGCCTCGAGCACCCATGGACTGCGAGGTCCCTCCCTCATCCATGGGCTGTGAGGTGCCTCCATCATCCATGGACTGCAAGGCCCCTCCATCATCCATGGACTGTGAGGTCCCTTCATCACCCATGGGCTGCAGGATCCCTCCATCACCCAACAGCTGTAGCCTCCATCCATCACCCTGGACTGCAAGGTCCCTCCATCATCCATGGACTGTGAGGTCCCTTCATCATTCATGGACTGTGAGGTCCCTTCATCACCCACGGGCTGCAGGATCCCTCCATCACCCAACGGCTGTAGCCTCCACCCATCACCCTGGACTGCATCCTCCCTCTGTCACCCCAGGTTCTCAGCACACCAGGAGGCCCCATCCCCTCTGGTAGCACCCCGACCCCCTGCCTCAAACCCTGCGGTCTCAAATCCTGACCTAGATCTCTGACAGCCGCCATCTGTAGCAGCGGCCGTCCTCCTCCCTCAGCAGAATTATGACGCTGAGTTAATGCGCAGAGGAGCAAGCTGTCAGATTGCTCTGCCCCGATCCCTTTGACAGGGCTTAGGTGCTTCGAGATCATTTAGAACATCCTCAGTCCTTCAAAAATAACCCCATGTGCCCAGCCAGGGGTGTCAGGGCACCCCAGGATGCTGGGACACCCACCCTTAGGACCGTAGTGGTGCTCTTGGTGCCACAGTAGGGCTTGGTGAGCTGGGGCTGGAAGCCACCCGTGCTGCACATCCTTGGGGTGCAGGATAGACCCGCAGCATGTGCATGTTGGTGCAGGGTGGGCATCACCCTTGGTGCTGGATGCTGGTTCCTCACTCTCTATCCGCTGGGCTTCAGCCCCAAAACACATCATCCTCCCAGCACAAGACCCCGCTCCAGCCCCAGTCCCCTGGCACGTGGCCCCGCAGCTCCCTCCTCGCCCGCTCTGCCGGGTGCGGTAGCCACGGGCACCGTCGCAGCGAGGTGCAACCGCGGCCCCGGGCAGGACCCAGACCCTGGGTGCCTCCGGCCCGGCGCCGTGTGCTGATTTGGCTAATTTATGGGCCGGGCTGTGCTCCCCTCCTCTTAGTCAGTAAAAAGCCAGCTCTGGCGCGGGGATTTGGGAGGGGGGATTAGCTGCGCCAACCATCTGCTACCAGGCCAATAATCATCGCCGTGAGGAAATCCAATAATTAAAAAAATATTGTTGCCACCCGCCGCTCCCACAGCTTGCCCTGGCGCCACGTGTCCCCGCAGTGCTGTGGGTCATGGTGCTCACCCTGCCCCATCTCTCAGGGCACTTGCGGGTCCCCTGCCAGCCCAGGAGCTGCTGGTGCTCGACGGGGCGGTTTGAGAGGAGAGCCCTCGGCACACGCAGCACAAGCAGCGTCGCTGCCAGGCCTGATGCCACCGTCCGCCGCTCCCACAGCTTGCCCTGGCGCCACGTGTCCCCGCAGTGCTGTGGGTCATGGTGCTCACCCTGCCCCATCTCTCAGGGCACTTGTGGGTCCCCTGCCAGCCCAGGAGCTGCTGGTGCTCGACGGGGCGGTTTGAGAGGAGAGCCCTCGGCACACGCAGCACAAGCAGCGTCGCTGCCAGGCCTGATGCCACCGTCGAAGGGCGGATGCTGGGACCACCACAGTGCTCGGGGTGCACCAGTGGGCCGAGCAAGGGCGAAGCGACGTGAAGGAGCAAACGTTAAACCCACAGCGGGGTCGTGACTCAGCTCCGTGACAGACGCTGGGGCAGATGCCACGGGATTACTCAGCCTAAAACCTTGGAATTTGCTCCCCCCCTCGCCCCAGCAGGCAGAGAGCATTTAATTACTAATTTACTAATTACCCGAGGATGCTGCCGACAGGCTCAAAAACGCCTGCCGGGGAGGCAGCCCTGGGGCTGGCTGGTCCCTGCTGGCCGTAATCCGCTGGGCAGCCCTGGCTGTGGAGCCACCGCGTTCGAGGGCATCACTGTGTGGAGCAGCGCCCGCGCCAGCTCCCGGCAAGGCAGCCCGCTCTGGAGAGCCTGGGTCTGCTGGCCGTGGAAATTTCTGCATGAGGTTCAGCTGCTGAGTCCTCTGGCAGGGCAGAAGGGGAACATTTTGATGGATGAGGCTGGTTCTCCAGTGGGAAGTGCAGGCAGGGAGCTTACCCAAGCAGATTGCCCTTTGAGATTACAGTGGTCCTGCTGCAGGGGTGGGATTTCTCCCTGAGGAACCCCAATCCTTCGGGAAGCCCAGGTGGATTTGGGAATGATCCCAGGAGCAGGAAGATGGGTTTGAGTGTCCCAGCTGCACAGCACCATGCCAAACAGGCAACTGGGCAGGCCAGTGGGGTCTGGCAGGGGACAGTGAGGAACATGAGAAGGTGAGGGGGCTTGGGAGGGATGGTGGGAACCGAGAGGCAATGATGGGGATGAGGAGAGGTTGGTAGGGACCAGGAGGGGATGATGGAGATCCGAAGAGGACAGCATGGATGAGGTGGGGATGATGGCGATCAAGATGAGATGATTGGGGATAAGGATGGCATGACGAATACCAGAAAGGGTTGGTGGGGACCAGAAAGTGATGGTGGCAATCAGGATGGCATGATGGGGATCAGATGGGGTCGATGGAACCTGGTAGGGAGCAGGAGGGCATAATGTGGACCACGTGGGGACTAGGAGAGGAAAATTGGGATCAGGAGGGGATGATGGAGACCAGGAGGGAACAGTGAGGATGCAGAAGGTTTGATTCTGACCAGGAGGGGATCTGGAGAAGGTGATGGAGACCAAGAGGAGAAGAGAAGGTCTAGGATGTGGGACGAATGTGGGACTCTGCCAGCCCCATGACACCTCCAGCAGCACCAGCAGGTGGTTGTGAAGAGTTAACAAGGTCACCTGGCACTCAGCAGTCACCTGGGCCCAGGGGAGGTGGCTGCCAGGCCTGGGCTCTGGTTTCACGGCTAATTAGCTCTCGTTTATTGGCAGCTCTGTCTCCCTTTGTGCACCTGTAGGGAGGGCAGCAGCCCGCAGCCTTGCTGTGATAAATGATGCTGTGGGTTCCGAGGTCACCGGATGACAAAGGGCTGTGTGGTGACAGCTCCCACATCAGCCTCTCCAAGACCCGCCAAGGCCTTCGCTGACCCCCAGTACAAGGATTAAAGTTTAATGTGGCTCTGCAGCTGACCTGGCCTGCGAAACCCTGCGGCGCACCTCTCCGCGTGCGGCCCTGGTGCTTGATCTGACAGGCACTGGGGCCAGCGCACACAATCCTCTTCATTGGTGGCAGCTGGGCAGCCACCATCTGGGGTGGGCAAGCCATGAACCGGGGCTCCATCCCTACGCTGATGCCACTGCAGGAGGGTCGCAAGAGAGGGTGAGCAGCAAGCTAGGTTTGTTCCCCCTGGGATGGGCCCCAGCACGCCGTGGCCTTCAATGAGAGAGGATGGGCTCTGTGCCATGGGCTTGCAGTGGTCAGGCCGGTTGGGACAGTCTGGGCGCATTCCCACAGCCCCCCTCTCA